CCCCTTTTCCCCCTCCCGAGGCACGGGGCCTCTTGGAGGAGTTAGCGACACGGGGTGGTCCCACTTCCGGAGGACGACCCCCGAGCGAGCAGTAGGCCCAGGAGGGGAGGGCTGTGGGGGCGCCGCCGACATTCACCGAGAGGCTGAACTGTGCCAGCAGTGGGAGCCCGCTCGTGTCATTCGCCCGTCACCCCGGGAGGCGGGGCTGCCCCCCCAGTTACACAGAAGGAAAGGGAGACCCCACAGCGGGTAGGTGCACGTGCAGTGGGATTCGCACTGGGACTCCGAGACTCCAGAAGGTCCGAGAAAATGTGGGCCAGCTGGAGTCGGTGAAGAAGGGAAAGGAAACGTTAGCTGGGGCGGGAACAGGAGTGAAGGGGGCGTGTCCGAACATATTAGAGATTCTCACTGGAGGCCTTCACGCGTCTCGGATGGAAAAGATCGCAGCGAGGGACCAATTCCGCCCCGCTTCCGCCCCGCTTCCGCCCCGCTTCCGCCCCGCTTCCGCCTGGCGCGTATCCAGGAAGCCAGCGCTCAGAGAAAGGGAGGCTTTGGGATGGATGGTTGTGGAAAGCTCGGTGGGGGATGAAAGAGAAGCAGGTTTAACCAGTTTGGCTCCTGACTAATGTCAAGGATAACAAACGATCTTTTAATGGAAAAGAGGAGCTCAAGATAAACAGGGAATTTAAGCTCACAGCGAATGAAAAGTTGGGTTGTTTACTTCTTAATATTGAGTTGTAATTGATGTATTCTGGCTATAGGGAGAATATATGATGTGTGCAGATATTTTCTGCCAGTTTGTGGCTTTTTAAAAATTAATATGTTGCTGTATTAGCAGTATGTGTTCTTAAATTGAATAAGTTACTGGTCATAAATTGCTGAATAAAACTTGATATCACAAATTGGGAACTCTTTTTCAGATTTCATCAGCTGCTTGTGGCTATGGATTCACATTGCTGTCCTCAAAAACCAAGGATGTTACAAAAGTTTGGGGTATGGGCCTCAACAAAGATTCTCAGCTTGGATTTCACAGGAGCCGGAAAGATAAAAGTGAGGTTCTCACCTTGGCTTCTTTCTGCTGTAACTAGTCTGAGAGCTCCCTTTGGATTTTCATGTGTATCTATATATATCAAAGGCTAATATGCTAAGTGTCCCTCTGAGTCTGACTGGTTGCTATGACATGCACTGACCACCAGGGGGCAGGCGCTATGACTCGCACTGGCCATTTACAAAGAAACGGCACCGTGGACCTGGTGCCGACAAAGCAACACTTGGCTTCCCCCAAGTGGGACACAGGCCCCAACACCACCCTGGAGTGACAGCCCACCAAATCGCAGCCGATGCTGCCAAGACCCCATGGCACAAAATGCGGCCCACAGTTCAGCCCAGCCCAAAACGGTGGCTGTGGGCGCTGGGTAATGACGTCACGTAGCAACATCTGGCTTCCTCCCTAGCAACGACTAGCCTCCTTGGAGTTTCTTCAGCCCAGGAACACGACTTGCTTTATAGCCAAGTGGAAACATTTCACACTGTAACCAAATAT